ACTATGTATAAGAAATAAAAAAAAATATATGCTAAATACTAACAAAAAAATAACCAACCTAATGTTTTTGCTGGTTTCTAGACCCCATGAGTCAGTCTGGTGTTCACCTGATTTAGTTGGTTGGCCAGCAGGTCTCTCAGTTTGACCAGTTCACTACTGGCTAAAAAACAACACTTCTCAGCTAATAACAGGGTTACACACTGAAGCATTCCTGGACTACATTCGTTTATATTACACTCTAGGATCACAATCACAGATGTCTGAGAAAGTTTGAGAACTCAGTCAACAGAGTTTTGCGTGATTCCGATCGACTGAACTACTTCCTGAACTACATCCTGAAGCAAGCAATGAATGAACTGCAGTTCACTACTTTTAAAAAGCAATGATATATAAAGCCACTGTCATACCAACCATTTTTCTGCCTCGGGGAGAAACCGAACTTAACTGGATTAGATTAGGCATCTCACCTGCAGAATCCCGCTGGCAGCAGGAGCGGTTAAGACTCAGTTAGCATGACTGATACCAGGTGAGATCTTTGATTCTCTCTGTGTCACTATACTATCCTCCTCTGCCTTCCTACCGGGACCGACGGCGTACGATGGGGGAATAAACGGCTCAGACCGGCACTGAGTAGATAAATGATTGAACTAGCAGACAACTTAAGAGGAGATTATGGAATGCAATGAGCTTTCTGGGCGCTGTTACATATGGTATACGGCTGTGTGCATGCTTGAGGAAATTGCTATCGGTCTGTGAAGGAGAGAGAGAGTTTCTTAGCTGGAAATAACAACCTGGTCTCATGGCAAAAACGTACCCGGGTGCACATTTTCGCTAGACGCGAAATACGTACCAATAAGTACATATCACTGCAGTTTCCAAAAGAAATGAACACTAGAGGCAGTAAAACTCCGACACCTTTTGTTCCTTTTCACACACATTTACAGAGTTTCGATTAATAAAGCGTAATTTTCGCACAATTACTTGAAGAATATCATGTTATGACTTCAAAACAATTTTAATATGTTGGGAGATTTGAAAACTGATGCTTTTGAACGTTAGCACCGCACATATCCAGCTTCATATCAATGGGTTTTCATTGACGGTAGGTTTGTTCGGTAGCTCACGGAGTACGGAGACATACCTGAGAGGCGAGGAACTCTGGTTTGAATCCCGTGTAACTACGGTTCGACAAAACGGTTCAAATCTGCATATAAGTAAGTTCAAATGACACGGTTGCATCATCATATGCATTTTTATATCAGTTTTGCATTTGTTAACACTGTCGGGTAGGTTTAGGGTTGGGTTTGGTGTAGGGCATATTTCCAACACGATAGAGCATTAACTTTTAGCGACAGTCCCCGGATATTTGAATTCTGAACCGCCGCAATACGTACCTGAAGCAACGTAATAAAAACACAGCAATATGTACCTTTATTAACGTAATAAAAATGTGCCAGGGTTCACGCATTGAACCCGTGTTTTAGCGCCACTCAGTGGACATTTCTCTTTGAAACTGTGGCGAAACGTGCAGTAAGGTACGTAAAAACGGTGTTGCAGAAAAGTACACAGAGGTACGTATTTTTATGAGACTGGGTTGGGAAATAATGAATGGCTTTGCTAGTGCTTGATGCATGGGAGGAATTCTACAGGTGCTAATGCATAGATATGATAGTAGTGCCACAGTGAAGGGGACATATTAGTATTAAAGGGGCCGCTGCAACCTTTTATGCAGAGGGAGGTCTAAATAATGTTATCATCAACAGGTTTAATCTCAGAAGCTGAAAAAGTAAACATGTACTAAGAGTTCCACATGTAATAAAGCACAAGAGTCCAGAAGTAAAAACTCCATTTACTTTCTCCATAGGGAAACTGATTTGTAACTGATAAACCTTTAAAGATCCACTGAAGTGCCTTGAAACGTGCAGCATTATTCTGTGTGTTGATGTAATGGACCCTTTGCAGGGAATTTGATTGGCAGGCGATCTGACCAATCATAACGCCGAATCTGCCATTTTTGTCTGTCAAACAAACCAGACAGGAGAACAGATTAACGTTGGTGGACTTGAACTTGAAAATGGTGTGTATTGACGTCTTTCCGCAGTTGAAACAAGATACCTTCATGTTTATTTCATGCTAGTAAAGAGGAAGAGATGATCGGTTCACGTGCCGCTCTAACTGAGACGCTACAGTGATCTGTCACAACACATTAAAGGGCAACAAAAAATGGTATTTATTGTTTGAATTTCTTACAAAATGACAGAATTTGAAAGCTGAGACTTTGTTTCATACCAAAAGTAACCTGCTCCGTCTTGTCTGTCGGCTTATTGTCAGTTTCCTCTTTGCTCCGCAATGTATTTTTTACTGTGTGAGAACATGGTGTGTGATGGCTTGACGGATGTAGCAACAGTAATAAAGGGGGTCAGATCTTCGCGAAGGGTCAATTTCAACTGAAACAGGAAGACAGGGTGGGATATATCGAGCAGTCCCGCCCCCCCTTTTTAAATAGCCAATAGCGTTTCGCTTATATCACAGTTTGGGCCAGAGCCGCATTTGACAGCTTATGACAGCCATAGTCTAATAGATTACCCCTTTAGATTCAATATGAAACTGTTACTAAAGCAAAACAGTGATTATAATGATGCTGAGGATCACTGGCATACTGCACATCTGTGAGGCCCCTGCAAAGAACGAAATGGGGCCCCTCCCACCAGCAGTGATGTCAAGTATAAAAATTAATTTTGCACCTGCTGCAACTTACTACTGAGTCCGTGTCCCCCATTTACATAACTGATTTAACAGTAATGAATGTGGTGAATTATCATCATTGCATTGATGCATTTGATGTTATTATTGAATAATTATTATATAAAAAGTGCCACTGTTCTGATTTGATTGTTATTTTAGCATATTAGCATGTTATTTCAGCATAATAGCATATTTTATTTAACAGTAAGCTCAATAAAATTCATGTAGACCAGAGGTGGCTAACGTTGGTCCTGGAGAGCCACAGTCCTGTGTAGACCAGAGGTGGCTAACGTTGGGCCTGGAGAGCCACAGTCCTGCAGAGTTCAGCTCCAACCCGAATAAAAACTCACCTGCCTGTAGCTTCCTAGTAACCCTTCAGACCTTGATTAGCTTGTTCAGGTGTGTTTGATTAGGGTTGGAGCTGAAGTCTGCAGGACTGTGGCTCTCCAGGACAGACGTCGGCCACCCCTGGTCTATATCTATATATGTTTACACATGTGTATAGACATATGAGTGTCTTATACCTGCTCGAAGCAAAATGACCTGATCATCCAGAGGCAGATCGGAGAAATTAGGTATTCTCTTGGCCCACTCCACCAGAGTAAACAGTTGCTTGTCAGCTGCATGGCAGATATTAGTGACTGGGTCATTTGTCTGAGAGACCAGATGAAAAAAAGGACAGAGAAAGAATGAGAGAGAGTATTTGAGTTGTTACTTTATCAAAGAATGCTAAAGTCAGCATGTATGTACTGTGCAAATGGTATATGAATAAATATAAATGTCTTTGTCTTACTGAGTTGCCTGGACTGTTCTCTGTGTATGTCTCAGTCTTAGGTTCTACTGCAAGTTCTGCATCCAGAATCCTATCCACAGGCATGTCTTCATTCAAACTGCTTGTTGATTCCACCTCATTATCACCTTTCTCCTTCCCACGCTGCCTCTCTTCCTGGACTGCTGTGGGGTCCAGCAGAGCAAGGAAATGAGTACATTATAAATCATTGTAATTAATGATTATGACATTTAAAAATGATTTAAGAAATCTCACATTTGTATAACTTTTATCTGTTATATTAGATATTGTACTTATTTTATATTTTATTTTAGATATTATAAGAGAACAAATGTACAAAATAATGTATTCAATATAATGTAAGATTATATAGAAATATAATATAATATAATATACTAATATTTATGTTATTTAGCATAATAATTAAAGCATGATATTAATATGTGTTGAAAATAAAATATCTTCTGGCCACAAAGGCTGCAAAAAGCACAAAACAAAACAAAACACCAAACTGAAACAAAACAAAACAAAAATCCAAACCGAAACAAAACACCAAAGCAAAGCAAAGCAAAACAAAACAAAACAAAACAAAAC